AAAGAAAAACAACTTGATGGCGAGATAGCTCAACGGTCTAAAGCATTTGCTTAGGCAAGCTTAGGCAAGCACAAGGACGACAGTCTGATCCCTGATACCACATGCTGCACCAGTCCCACTCCCAGCACAGGCTGAGCTGGCCACCAAAAAAAAAACACCTTTCAGAACAGCCAGTAGGGAGAATGGTGAAAGTACCTAACCTTTTTATCTTACATCAGTACGTACTGTAAACTTACAGTATAAAAGTATTGTATTAACATAAGAAACATCAAGAGTGTACTAAATTATATATGAGTTAACACATGACTCAAGCAGTACTTTCAGAACAGAAGATGTTAATGAATGGCTCTGATACTGATCACTCGGAAGAAAGCTAACTTAACTACATGGTCTACCCTCAAACCCATTCTAGATGAATTAAAGCCTTAAGCTTTTAAAAAAGAAAGCACAGAACTGTCCAAATAGCTCAGCAGATTAAAGCAGCACCTGCAAGCAGGCGCAGCGGCCAGGGGTTCAATCCCCAGGCCTGCCATGCCAGGCCCGCCCCTAGGGCACACTGAGACGCAACTGACACTGGGCATGGTGGTGCACGCCTGTAATCCTAGCTCTTGGGAGGCTGTAAACAGGCAGATCACTAGGAGTTTGATCTAGTAGGGAGACCCTGAAAACTCTGTAGACTCTTCCCTAAAAAAATAAAAAGGAAAAAACAAAGAGCAACAATTTAAGTTTTTACATATACCATTAAGGTAAAGACTTTATTATCAAAACCTACAGAAATCATATATCTGACAATTTTAACATGTCACCTATCTATGGATTTAAAAAAATACAATAATCAAAAACAGTACCATTTGAAAAAACATCACATAAATTACTGAAAAATGGTTGTTCAAATCAAAATCATTTATGAAAAAATAAAATAAGACAAATGAAATGGATAGACAGTCACAGATAAGTCACATCATCAGATAAAAGCAAATCCTAAGAAACATATAAGTCTCAGCTCAAATCCAGCAACAATCATGGAAATGAACATTAAAGTAATGATTTGGATTTTTTGGCAGAACCGGGGATTGAACTCAGGCCCTTAATAATGAGAGGAAAAAAAAGTAACAATGAGATCACTAAGTATCAACAAAATATAGACTGAATAGTCTATCAAGTAAAAAACACTATTAATATTAATTGTGTGAAAGAAAATTTTAACAGCCTGTTCCCAAAGCACTAAGACACAAACACATAAGCATGTGCTGTATTTCACTTATGTGCTCTAATGAAGATACTAAATAATTCATATTACCTGAACAGGATGGTAAGAGCAATGCTTAGAACTTCCTTTTAAATCTTTAATTTTTACCTCAAATACAACAATACTCTTTAGGGACTGGAGAGATAGCTCAGTAGAATAAGCGCTTGCCTGGCTAGTGCAAGGCCCTAAATTCAATCCCCAGTACAGGGGAGAAAAAAAAAAAAAAAAAAAAAAACTCTTTAATTTGAAAAATCAGAATAAAACTTTTATTTTTGAGACAAGTTCTTAAATACACAATCCAGGCTGCCCTTGAACTCTGTAATTTTGGCTGCCCTTGAACTCTATAATTTTGGCCTTGAACTTGAGGTCCTCCTACTTTAAACCTCCTAAATACTAGGACTTGCAGGCATGCATTACCATGCCCATCTTTGAAGATAAAACTTCTATAAACAGCAACCTATGTCACTGACTAAAGGAAATGGAACAAAGAGAGAAAAAAATACTAACCTAAGACTTGAAAAATCAAAAAACTACTGATCTATGTTCACAATTCTACCCAGGCTGACCCTGACTTTGTCACTTGAAACAACATATGCATGAACTTTGGAATTTCCAACTTTTTCATTACATCAAGGCAAACAACACCCATGGACATGCTACCAACCTGATCTATGAGGAGCTTCACTTGGTTCTATAAGGTCTGGCTGAGATGCTTCTTTCTCCCTCGAAGAAACTGGAAATGACTTTGGGTATGATTTTTGGCACTGAGCATAAAAGAAACACATTTGATCTACTTTATTAAATTATCAAATCCGATTATAACATATTTGTTCTAAAAATAGGAAATATTTTAAAGTAAAGCACTGTTAAGGTATACAAAATTGACTACTCACAAAAAACAATACAGTTACGTAACATCACATATAGACCAGTGAAACAAAGTGACATGAATAAGTGATTTTGTTAACTAAAATAGAAGCCAAGTTGCAGAAATACCTAATAATCCCACTGATAAAGATTTCAAAATAGATACAAAGAAAATCTGATTCAATCCAATCCAATCTAATCTGACACAGTATTTAGGAATTTCTCTCTGCAGGAAAGTGTTAACACAAGAGTCCTGATCATTTTAATGAACCTTTTTACACAGCTAACTCCTTCTGAATTCTATCAAATATGTAAGGAAGAAACACAACTTTTTATAAGAAGATGTTAGAATAACAAACAAACAGGAACTCATTTTACAAGACTAGCACAAACATACAGTGGAACCTGTATTTTTCAATATATCTTTTTGTGTGTATGTGGTGGAACAGATTAAATAAATCCATAGGCTGGCACATACTAAGCAAGTGCTCTACTACTAAGCTATATCCCAAGGCCTCTTGTTTTTTTTTTTTTTTTTTCTTTTTTTTTTTTTAGTGTATTTAGTACAGGGTCTACAGGGTCTCACTATGTAGATCAGACTGCTAGTGATTCTCCTGTTTTTAGCCTCCCAAGCACTGGGCTTACAGGTGCATGCACCACCACATCCAATCTTAATCACCGTTTCAGCATGCCCCAGGGGCAGGGCTAGCATGGCAGGCTGGGAATCGAACCCTGGCCACTAAAGTCTACCTAAGCAGGTGCTTCAATCTGCTGAGATATCTAGCTGGCCCTCTTTTTTATACATATTCAAAATTATGGATTCTCTATTAACACTATTTCAGCTAGATCTCATAAAAATTTTAATTAGTCATAATTTTGCCATCATTTGGCTCAAAATACTTTTCTATTCTCATCAAGAAGTCAATGTAGTTGCCAGGGTTCTATCCCAGTTCGCCACACCGGGCCCGCCCCCAGGGGTGCACTGAGACTGGGCATGGTGGCACATGCCTGTAATCCCAGTAGGCTAAAAACAGGAGAATCACTAAGAGTCACTAAGTAGTGAGACCCTGAAGACCCTGTTCTAAATACATTTTTTAAAAAAAGGAAGTCATTGTAATAGACCTTTGCTTTCCAGTAAGATGTACTTTTATCAATGGTAAATAAAACTACCTGATCTCCAGAACTTAACAGGTTATGGCATAGGCAAGAGAAACTGTCAGTTGAGGAGATAAAATTGGAGAGCTGAGGTCAAGATGGTTAGAATTTTTATGTTACAGTACTGGACAGGTAGTAGACACTGAGGAAAAACTACAGAGGTACAAATCGTCCTCAAGCAAGTCTATCCCATGTAGACTGATAGAAGAGGCATGTGAGAAAATCATGCAAGGTTGGAGAAAGAAATACTTGAAGGCTGAGGGGAAATAATCCTAAGTCACACAGAACCAAGAGTAATGCCTGTACCTACTAGTCAAGGTGAAAAACCTCCATTAAGTCATGGTATACTGAATAAAGAACTCAGGATTTTTACTTCAGAAATAAAGAAAATCAGCTATAAATTACATGCTAGTCCTTATTTCCACAGCTATGCCTAGTTCTAAAAGTAGATTACATTTGTATTCTTTTTTTACTAGCTGTATAGCAAGTGTATTGGCTTATTAAGACCTATTACAACCTTCACAGAACAGGAACCTTTAACATACCTAGACGATAGAAAACATTTAAGGAAATAATGACTATTATTCATGAACATACACACAGATCTCAGGCAACGCAAAGTTGATTTAAACTTTCAAAACTCACTGTAATTTATCATATCATAGAACCTCAATTCTCAAAGAAACGGCTGTATTTCATTCCCTGGGACCAAAAGGACACATACAGGTTTAATATGCTACTTGCTTGTCTACAGGTTGTTCGTGACTTTCATTCCACTGGATGGTTTCTCCAGTGAGTACTGCGCTTTTAAATAATTTGTGTTGGACATGAAATTCAAACCTGTAAGGCTATGGGTATCGCATATGCTTAAAGTATGCTAGGTCCTGGATTTGATCCCAGAAAGGGTAGGAGTGGCAGGGTGGTGGTAGTGCTGTTATTGAAAATCTACAAGTTGGACATAGTGGCACAGGGTATTATCCCAGCACCCAGGGGAATGAGGCAGCAGGATCATGATTTTGGGTACAACTCAGGCGGACACAATATGTTCAAGACCAACCTGGACTACATACTGAGACCTTATCTCAAAACTACTATCTTCTATAGTCAAATCAACCTATCCTCATAAGACATAAAATGAACAAAATTGGTTTCCCTGAATAGCAAGAGTGGCTTTGTTCTTCAGAAAATAGCTCAAGTGTCAACCTAATCAGAAACTTCAATAACTACCTACATCCCTCAAAGCCTAATAAAGTACTATTTTATAAGAAATGAAAAATTGCTCTGATTTGTCATTTTTATTACCAATTTCAAACATAGGAAACATTAAATCAAATAGTTTATTAAACCCTCCCAAATGTTACAAACCTTCAATGGCAACACAGGATTCTCTTTCTAGAATAAGACAAACAACTAAAATGTATTTAAGTACACTGTATATAGCTTCATTCATTAAAATATTACATAAAACTCAGTTCTTTTTTACTTACATCTTTGCTTGGTGACTGAAAACCACTGTGTTTTATTTTGGGTGTTGAATAAAGCACTGATTTTGTAGAACTTGTGATAAAATCATCAATAAAACCTAAAACACATGAAAGTTTAGAAACTGAATTTAATACAGCATCTACTGGTTACAATTCAAAGTAGTTCTATAGGACACATAAAGAACTATGGGGGGGAGGGGAATTAAAAAAAAAAAAAAAAGAATTATCTGGCTAACTGGCTCTATAAGATACACCTGTAATCCCAGAATTGTCGAAAGTCTGAGGGCAGCCTGGAAAATGTATGCTGACTCAAAATTTAAAAAGGACTCACATAGCTCAATGGTAAGATGCTGAGCAAGGGCTTACTTAGTTCAATCCTCAATGCCACAATTAAAAACAAACAAAAAAATCTGATATTAATTCAACATTCCGATGTTCCTGAAGGATATCAGAACCTGAAGAAAGAAAAGATTCTTAAAGAACTATATGCCAACTCTTCTTTCAGAGCTTGTACAGAGAGCTAGTTTTTCAAGCTCAGTCTGTTTTCTGCTGAGAATAAGCTGGAGAGTGTAGATCAGTGATAGAGTACAAGCATAGGCAAGCACAACACCTAAGGCTCAATACTTGACACTACAGGAAAAATTAACAAAAAAAAATCCTGATACTGAAGTGATTTACAAAGAACAGAAAATCATTTCTTACAGTTTTAAAGACTGATTGCAAAATCACACCTGCACCTACCAAGGGCCTTCTTATGTCATTCTAAGGCAGGAAGCAGATAGGTAAGAATATGCCAGTCAGCAAGAAATCACACTCATAGCCACAAGAGTTATATTAGCGTTAATCTCTTCATGTGCGCAACACCTTGTGACCTCATCAATTCTCAAAGGTCCTACCTCTTCAAATTTTTGCAATGTGAATTAAATTTCTAACACATACTTTTGGAGTGCAATGAAACATTAACATCCAAAATCTTTTATTCCTTTTTTTTCTTTTTTTTTTTTTAATGTATTTGGTTGTTATAGGGTATCACTACACAGCTCAGACTCATAGCGATCCTCCTATTCTCAGCCTCCCCAGCACTGGTATTATAGTCATGTGCCACTGCGCAGCCTCTGTGGCCCACTCAGACTGCTCTGGGGGTGGGGCTGGTGGGCATGTGGTACCAGAGATCAAACTACGGTCCCTGTGCTTACCTAAGCAGGCACTTTAGTCCTCTGAGCTATATCAGCCCCATGTTTTCTTTCTTTTTTGAGACAGGGCCTTGCTATATATATGTAGCCCAGGCTTGCCTCAAACTCATGGTAATCCTGTCTCAGCCTCCTGAGGGCAGGGATTACAGGCATGTGCCTCCACACCTGGCACCTTTCATTGGCCTGTTGTCCTTACTCTGATGCTGATTATCACTTAGAAAACTTTTTGCAGCCAGGGATATAGCTCAGCAGCTTAGGTACCTGCCTGGCAAGTGCATGGTCCTTAGTTCAATAACCAGTACCACACACACAAAAAAAAAAAAAAAAAATTGCCAAAATTTGTGACTTACTTTAAAGTTATGAAAATCATCAAAGATTATCTCAAACTCTAAGAATCTCAAGAAGTCTGCGCACTTACTTCCAATATAGTGTTTCCCTTATCAAATATCTGGATCAGTAAATAATTTTGATTTTTAAATTTTTTCAGATTTTGGAATGTCTACATATATTTAAAAAAGTATCTTGGGGATAGATTCTGTTATGATTGTGTCTAGAAGTCCCCACAAAGCCTATTCTGGTCACTGGGTATTTTTTGGAGGCAGCTGAATATAATTTATAATTTGTTCTGAGTCCCATGCTGGGAGTGTGACTGCTACAACTGCCCTCGGGTGGGTAGCATACATGCAATACAAGGGAGGCTTATTTCTCTCTTCTATCTTGTTGCTTTGGGTATTTTCTCCCACCATGAACTGTTGCCCCTCTGTCTTGGAGTCACCTGATTATGGACTGAAACCTCTACAAACTGTGAGCTAAATAAGCCTTTACCTCCATTAACTTTGGGTGTGTGGCATTTTGTCTCAGCAACAAGAGAAAAGTAACTAAGACAGGTCCTAAGTCTAAACAAAAAATTCACTCAAAGGTCTGGCAGGATAACTCAGTGGACTAAACACCTGCTTGGCGAGCACAGGGACCAGGGTTTGATCCTGCCTCTACCCTTAGGTGTGCTGTGCTGGCCAAGACCGAGGATGGTGGTGTATGACTGTAATCAGTGCTGGGAAGGCTGAAAACAGGAGGATCACTACAAGTCCAAGCTGCGTAGTAAGACACTGTACCAAATACATTAAAAACAAACAAACAAACTTATATTTCATGTACACCATACACAGACACACACATATGGCCTGAATATGATTTTATACAATATGTTCAGCTAAGTTTTATAATATAGAATATGATATAGAATATTCCACTTCTGACATTGCATTTCAGATTTTGGAATTTCAGACTAGTGATATTCAACCTATACACCAAATTCTCTTATAACTATGTACGGGCTTCAAGATCACAGAAACCTACTGTGAAATGGATGTCAAATTATTGTCAAATTACTGTGGTTTTTAAAAAATTAGTATCACCCTTGGTATACAGGAAGGATTGCATGCATATTCAGAATTCCAAGGAAAATGTTTTCCCTGTATTTAAATGCTAGAAAATATTTGCTACATTTGATATTAGCACAACAAATTTTATTTTTACTCATTCCAACCCTCAAAGTACATCTGGAAATGAAGTCTTACTTTTTTCTTCAAAACAGTTTTCTAAAATTTCTAGCATGTTCTGGCTTTGGTCAGTATTAATGTCAGGTACCCTAATAAAAAAGAAAGAGAAAAACATTATTTTTGCAAGTTAATTCTGTCATTTATATTATTTATGTAATAAATGAAAACTCTGCAGCTCACTATAAAATGTTAATGGCTTTATTTTGCAAAATGTACTGGACAACTTAGAAGTTCTCACAAATAAACTCATCCCTTTGTACTATGAAGGAAAATATTATCATTATCTACATAAAGTTTTATCACATAAACAATTGTATTACAGAATTGAACAGCCACATCAAAAAACTGGTTTGGATTACTGCTATATTTTAGTAAGCACATCAACTTTTTTGAATAAATACAATTAACTGGTCCTGAAATGTTAATATCTTCTCCCTCTCTGATAAATGTTCTGTACTAGGTGCACAGCTTAATGTTTACCTGCTAAAAGACAGAATTTCAATCACAATAAAATTCTCACATGTACCCCTAAGAAAGATGGGAAATTTTTGCTCAAAGGGCAGAGGGTAAATACTTTAGACCTGCATACTACTAAGTCTGTCACAACTACTGAACTCTTGACATTCTAGCTCAAAAGAAACTATAGACAATATGTAAGCAAATGGGCATGGCTATGCTCCAATACTAAAACACGTTACTATCTGTGGGTTACAGCTTACTGATTCCTCACCTACAACAATCCTATTATTATTCAGAGTTTTAAAAGTAACATATATGAAGTAACTCACTTCAAGGTGTTCCTTACTAGCTACAACACACAAATCCTTTAATCTCTTATGTGGCTGTCTATACTTCAAGTTAATGCTATTATTTCATTATTATTACTTACTTAGAAATTTTAATTGTACAGATTTTACAAGTTAAAAAAGGGCCAAATAAGCACCCAGTGAATGCATGAGAGCAGGTACTGTCTTCTTTCTCCCTACTAAATTACGCTGCATCTTTGTAATATTACCACATTCAATCCATTCTACAGTACACTTTTCTCACGACTGTCATTTGGTTAGAACTGGGAGTCCTTCTGTTATATTTTATGCAAGTGAATTTTCTTCTCACTATCACTAAGTCAATACTTCTTGTATTAACATTTCTCTTAGTATAACATAATTAAGTTAACTATACTTAGTGGGCAGACATCATTATTTTATACTCAGAAGTGATAATTTTTTATTTCTTCACTTAAAAATTGACTTTCTCAAGATGAAAATAAAAGTTATCTTCACTATAAAAATCACCTGGAAGGCCGGCAAAATCTTCTTCGGTAGTCATTTTTTAGATGATCCTAAAAAAAAAAATTAAACATTTGTTTCAAATATAATCAAATATAACTTATTTCCAACGTAATTTCATTCTAACATGGGAATGACAAAATTTTATTTAAGTATCTGTTAATCAACCACTATATTATAAAAACAATTCTCAATCAAGTGAAAAAGAAATGTGCCTCATATGTATTAGTTCTAAACCTTTCTTGTACTACTCCTCACCTCCTCCCTCAAGCTGATCTTATACTGCCCTATCTACTATACATTTTCATCTATGTGGGTTCCTAGTCATTGAAGATGGTTAACTAACAATATCTTACATTCGTTCCACATAGAAATATTCCACTAAGATAATCATAAAGAACACTATAAAACAATGAAAAAGAAAACTGAAAAAAAGACCATATGTGCGGGCCGGGGAGATGGCTCAGCAGAATAAGCGCTTGCCTGGCAAGCCCAAGTGCCTGAATTCAATCCCCAGTTCTGCAAAAAAAAAAAAAAAAACCCAAAAAACATATGTGGGCAAATTAAAAGATTTCCAGAAGATGGAAAACAGATGAAGAATGATAAATGAGCAAGTGAAGAATGATAAAATGAAAGCAGCAATAGTATAACAAGAGCTCAAAGGCAACTCCTCAATGAGGACTTACAGTTTATCTTCCTGGAGAAGCCATGAAGATGCAGTCCTAGTAAACCCAAGATCTAAAGGAGGTAATAGGGATGGGGAGATGGCTCTGTGGCATAAGCACCTGCCCGGCAAGTGTAAGGTCCCAAGTTTGATCCCTAGTACCTAAAAAAAGAACAGAAATTCTAATGGATGTAGTAAGTGAGATAAGGGAGTAAAACCTATAGAATAGAGTCCCATGCTTGTCTTATTCTTAAATATAGATCTGCCTATTAGTGTTTACTGCTTCCCTCTCAAATTTAACTAGTATCTGGGTGAAATCATCCAAAATTTAAATCTCTAAAACAGAAGATCAAAGGAAAACTAATGTCCAAGGTGGGAAAGAAGAAAATAACAAAAATAAGAAAATTATCTTCATGCCACAACTGCAATACTAGACTCTTAAAACTAACACGGTGTACTATCTACACTGATTGGAGAATATGGAAAACTAATCAAAAACATGATTGCCTAAAAGTGAAACACTATAAGATACAGCTTACCTTGTTTCTCAAAATAAAGAGAAAGTGGGAAAAAGAATAAGAGGAGCAAAAGACAATCATCAAGAGTTCCCCTCTGGGCACACTGATTTCAGACCAAAACAAAAAGTGATATATAGGGGGCTGAAGAGATGGCTCAGTGGA